AGCCATGCTGGCTGGGGAATTCTGGGAGTTGAAGTCCACCCGTCTTCAAGTTGCCGAGGTTGAGGAACACTGCTCTAGAGTAAGCCTAAAGGAAGCTGGGTAGGCCGTGGTTGAGTGTCCTATGGGAACCTGGTCATTAGCTTAACAGGTTGCAGGTGGGAATCACGTGAAGCCATCCAAGGATTCATTTGGGTGCACCATGCTCTAGGAACATAGAATGGTGGTTTACTCACCCAGGGTTAAGATTTCACACGTCAGAAAGAAGGGGCTGGAAATTCCATCCTCCATCTGCACTACTACCATGGCCCCTGCAGTGCAGGGGGGCTGGGGGGGGGGAAATATATATAAGTTCACGCCAAGCCTTGGTAGTATCCAAGGAAATTGGATCTCACCTTCCGTCATTCCCAGAAAAGTTCATGCTTATGAGCTTGATAAAGAGAGGCGATTGACTCTAGGGAGGAAGCTGGGTGCTGGATCGGATGGAGATAGGGCCCCCCTGTGCATGTGCTCCTCACCTCCTAAAGAAAGTTGTAGGAAGAGAGCTAGTAGCTTGTCCTGGCCCGGAGGAATGGGGATCCCTAAGTGGGGTCCCCCACTTGAAGTCCTAAGTGGTGGCATGAATTCGGGGAGCGGTAGAGAGGTTGAAGGTTGTCTCTCCTTGAGGATTTTCTTGGTGGTGCAGCCTGTACCCCATCACTCTTCGGGGATTCACTGTTTGATCTCTCCTACAGTGAATCTGATGGGAACCCCAGCACGGAGGACGAGTCCAGCCACGGTCCTGAAGAAACGGAAGCAGCTGGGGGACTGTCCACCAGCCACGAAGGGGTCTCCGCCCCCAGCAGCCTGTTCCTGCCAGCTGCCTGCTCCAGTGCCTCTTCCATCCTCCTGAATGGGAACTTCATCACTGCTAGCTCTCCCCCCACCATGCTCCTTAATGGGGGCTCTGTGATCCAGACTCCCACCGGAGGGGTCATCCTCAACGGGTTGACTCTAGGGGAGAACCAAACCATCACCCTCAGTCCCATGGCAGCACCCAGCCCGCCCATCCTCCTGAACGGCTCCACCAGTCTGCTGAGCCCCAAGGCCCCCAACAACCAGGAGATCAGCAAAGCCCCCCAGGAGAGCCTCTCGCCAGCCACAGTCATCCTCAGCCCAGCTGCCCTCCAGGGAGAGGTGAAGTCAGAAACCGCTGACCCGCTGGCGTTTGGCGTGGAAATGAAATCCGAGGATGGCCGGGGGGCAGCTCTTCCGCCCCTCCTGTCTCTCCCAGATACCTCCACGCTCCTCTCCGGGCGCAAGGGGGCACTCTTGGCTGCTCTGCCCTTGCCTCAAGTCGTTCCTTCAAATGAAGAAAGCCCCACTGCCCCCCAGTTGCCCGCAGCCCCTCAACCGGCAGCCCCCACCAGTCCTCAGATTGTCCCTCTTGCTAAACTGATCCCTGTGGGTCAAGCTCTGCCCACTTCCCAGGGGACAGGGGCAGCAGTGGGCAGCGGGCAGGGGTCCCCAGCGGCCCTGTCTCCTGCTGTCACCACCACACCCCTGCTCTCTGTCCCTGGGTCCTCTGCAGCCCAGGCCACGGTCCTCCATGTTTCTGCCCCATCCCTTCTCCCTCTCACCCAGGTATCACCCCCTTCCCAGGTTGTCCCTCTGTCCCAACCAGTTCCAGGAACTCAGTTGCTGTCCCCCCCTCAGATGGTGCCTGTGTCTCCCACCCAGATCTATACGGTATCCCACGGGGCTCCACCTCCACAGCTGGTCTCCATTCCTCAGGTGGCACAAGGCTCCCAGCTTATCTCCTTGCCCCAGGTGGTGCCCACCTCTCAGGTGGTGACTCTGCAGCAGGGCGTGGGCAACCCCATCCAGATACTGACAAGCGCCGCCCCCATCAAGGTGGGCCCCGTGGCCGGGACCCCGCAAGCCACGGTGGCCACCGGAGGCCTCGGCCAGAACAACGTCCATCTCCTCAACACTGGCGTAGGCGTCACGGCACTACAGCTTCCAGGCACAGCGCCAGGTACGTACCGATGGCTTCAGCAGTGGCTGAGCCGTGTGGCAGCCAGAATCAAGGACCTCTCCTGACCTTACAGAAAGATTAGGGATTCTCCGGAAAGTCGACAGTGAAAAGTTCAGAATTGGAAGGGTAGATTGCTATCGTTAGGAGTCTACAATTAACAATAAAGGTGTCGATATAGCGTAGTCAACATTTTCCAAATCGAGGCCGCAAGGCAAGGAATGCAGGCTTTATATACCAAACACGGTCTGCTTCCTGGCATCTCTGGTGTTGCTGCTATTGTGGCCGTTTCAAAAGTCTCTTTGTGTAAAGGAAGGTAGAAGTGACTGGAGGAAGGGAGGGAAGGAAGGAACCAACTGACCAACCATTAAAGGAGGAGAAATGGCAACTTGGTCCTGACAAGGAAGAGAGTGTGAGAAAGGCACTCAAATTACCCCCCCCCCCATTTTGTTTGGTGTAAGATGAAGTAGTGAGAAATTCTGATGGGCTTTCAGGATTCTGTTGTCATACCCTACAACAAGAAGGAGAGCTGGTTTGGTGGTTAAGGCATCAAGCTAGAAACTGGCAGATTGTGAGTTCTAGTCCTGCCTTAGGCACAAAGCCAGCCATGCGCTCTCAGCCCCGGGAAGGAGGAGGCCAGGGCGAACCACTTCCAAAATCTTACCACAAAATCTGCAGGGACTTGTCCGGGCGGTCCCCAGGAGTCAAAAACTGGCTCAAAGGCACACACACACGTGTTCCTGGAAACTGTCTGGTGTCTGTTTTTTGCCCCCTCAAGAGTTCCTCTGCTCGTCTTATACCAGTCAAAATCAAGGTGGGGTTATTGTGAGTTCCAGGTTGCCGTTCCTCCTCCCTTAACAGTTAGCTCATTCCTTCCTTTATGGTTTGTGGCTAAATCCGGAGATGAGGGAGACGCCGGGGCTGAGTGATGGGGAGTTGGAACGGTAGAAATTTGGCCTAGGGGGATTCTCTGCTGTCTTTCTGCTCCAGGTAACATTCTCCTGGCCAACCCAGCCACCGGCAATGGCACCATCGTCGCTGGCATGGCCGTACAGCAAGGCAAGGTCATCCTCACGGCCACCCTCCCAGCGGGCCTGCTGATGACACCTGTCCTCTCTGCTCCAGCAGCCTCAACCTGGACTCTTCCCACCAAGCAGGAGGTCGCAGTGGCCACACCAGCAGCTCTGGGGGGCCCTGAAGGGAACGGTTTATTGCTTCCGGGGGTTCCCTCAGTGCTGCCCTCTGAAGTCTCCCCTCTTTCCACTTCTGACGTTGCTGGGCCAGCCCACGTGGCCTTTGGGACAGACTCCAGCCAAGCCCGCCTTCTCCCCAGCTTCTCCCAGCCGGAGGCCCTGGCCGTGTCCCAGCAGCAGGTGGTGTGGTCCAGCCCGGTTAGCATGGATCTTCAAGGGAACAGCGCCGAGGGGCTGTTTGAGATGGGGAAGGGCTCTGTAGAGGAGCTCCGGCTCACCGAGGGCGAGGGCCTTCTGCTGGACGCTTCTGGAGATGACGCCATGGGTCCTGAAGCTCTCGACTCGGATGAGAAAGTGCTGACCCAGCTGCAGTCCGTACCGGTGGAAGAGCCTCTGGACCTGTGAGACTCGGACCGCTGAGGAGCGTCACCTTCTCGGGCAACGTTCTTCAGACTGAGAATTCTTGGGCTCCTGATCTTTCCCAGAGCAACTGTGAGTTTGGGAGTTCCCAAAGTGCCTCGATAAGAGAAAACGCTTCCCTGTGAGGCCTCCTGCCCGTCAGGGCTGCGGTTCCACCTTTGCACAGGAACGGTGTAACACTACAGCGCGGGGACGGTTCTCCCCACCGCCCTTCAGGCTGACCATGACAGACCACTGCTGGGGCGGCAAACCTGGGCGCCACTGTGTGGCTGTCGGCAGAATAGCAAACGCTGCTTCCTTCACCTGCAAAGGAGGGCGGGCTTCAGCTCTCCATCCTGAGGGTCAGGTGTTTCTCTTCAGGTCCTCTTTGAACTTCCTTTCTGGTAGATACTCCTCTGGTATGTTCAAAGTCACCATACAACTTGGAAAGCTGGGAATGTCCCACCTGCTGCAAGGAGAGCTTCTAGCCCAGAGCGATATTTCCTTTCCTCTCACCCATGGTGCTAGGGGTGGGGTCTGGCTACCAAATGTGATCCCAAATCCCACTTTAGAGAGGCAGGGAAATTATCCAGCTTCCCAGCTTTCATGCTTTCGTTCTCTTTTTTTTTGTGGTGTGGAGGATAGCCTTCCCTGTCCTCCCTCTGACGCTGTGGAGATAATGATGGGGAAGAAGGCAAACGCATCTGGAGCATCCCAGGTTGGAGGAGGCGGTTTGGGGCCATGAGCGTGCAATCTTAGGGAGTTGAAAGAACCCTGTTCTGAAATAGCTCTAGTTCTCTGTGGCAGAAAAGGGCAGCTAGAATGTCTCTCCGGTCTGTATGCCTGCGTGCCTTGTCTGCAGAACAGATTTTGAGAGCTTTCAACGAAGGTAGGAGAAACTACGAAAACGTTGGGCTAACCATGACAGTCCTCTCCACGGACAATGCAAGAAACGGGATTGGATTCTGCACAGGTTGGCCCTATAGTTAAAAGGTACATAGATTTTAGATACAGAATTAGCTTCTTAAGCCACATGAAATTTAGTTACATCTCTTTATTTTGGGTTTGGGAGCCCAAGGCAACCAGTGCTACGTACACGCGGGGTGGAGAGAATGGCCCGAAAGACCAAAATAATTGAGCATTATTGCAAAACTTGAGTTCATCCCCAGGGTCCCCAAAATGTATTGCTTCCCTTGCAACACCTCTAAATCCTCAGGCCAGCAGTCTTGATTTCTCCAAGGCACGGGGGAAAAAAATACACACAAAATCTGCTTCTAAAAGAAAGGTCTTATAAAAACACATTTCCCCGTACCTTAAGTTACAACTCTCCTACCGGTATATTTGAGTTTCTGTCATGTGGATAAAAGGAAAAAGAGTACCATTTTTTCACACTACATTCATAACAGTGTTTATGAAATCTTAAGAAGTTGAGTGACCCATGAGAATGGATTTTAAGTACTGAAGCTATCCCAGTCATAAAATGAATTTGGAATTTACTGTAGATTAAAGATGTCATATATGGACAGGTGTGGGGGAGTCAAGCCTTAATGCAGTGTTTTTCAAATGCGGCCACTTACAGATGTGTGGACTTCAACTCCCACAATTCTGGGAGTTGAAGTCCACACATCTCTAAGTGGCCAAGGTTGAAAAATGCTTCCCTAATGGAATAACCTCACATCAAACATGCAGTTATAATAGGCTACCTTTTTACATGTCCTCCAGAAACAGCCTGCTTTTTAAAAAGAGAGCGCCCATGTTCTTTACAAGCAAAAACACCTTGTATAAACTGGAGACGTTTATTCTTTTGCAGAGAAAAATTGCAGATTGAAATCCTGGTTTCTCCAGCTAAAGCTGAGAAAAATTCTTGAGGGAACCCTGGAGAGCTGCCTTGAGTCAGCACAGACAGGACTAACCTAGATAAGACAGCCCAGAGCTCTGCAGCTTTCTTGCCCTTTACTACTTGGTAAGGATGAGCGGAAGCCAATTTTGTTTTCATCTGATTCTCGCTTTACCGAATGAACGTTTTATTCAGTTGCTTCAGCATCAATACGGTATACGCATTTGCAGAGGGGGAGGGTCAAAAGGATGGCGGCTGCAACTATGCAATGAAAGCCCCGCCCCTTTTACCTGCATAAAAGGGCGGGGCTTTGATCACATGAGGCCGCCATCTTGACCTTTTTGACCCGCCCATGCAGACACCTCTGCATCTTTGGCCTGAAAGGAAATATTTCATGCACGTTTCCAGTTCTTGTACCCACTCCTAAAGGGTATACTCTTGCAAGCATTCTTCCCGTTGTGAAACAGGGTTATGCGTACACTTTGTCCAGTAGACGCAAGGTGGTTTTTTTCTCCCGCTACGCATTTTTGCACATACCTTCGGAATTGCAAACAGCACTGCGGTCGTTTGAAGCGTGTCTTTTACATGCATCTCTGTTCCAGGTTCTGACATAGACAATGTTTTTAAATAGTATGATGGGGTATATTTCTCCATTATCCCTCATGCTAAAAAAGATTGCCGTTAGTTCCAGTCCTCCAGGGCAGAAATGTGTAGCTCGAGTTATTTTTTTTTTTCTTTTAAGTACATGCAAACAACACCCTCTTTTTGAACCACTTAGTAACTACGAAGGTTTTCACTGAGTTGAAGTCCGCTCGGTTCAGAAACCATCGCTGGATGGAATTAGCAGTTGAGATAGGTTTTATTGTAAAGTGGGAAACGTCACAATTCACTATATTGAGATGAATTCCATCAGTACGGCAAAGCAGTCGTCTTTTCCAACACTACCTTTTCCTTGGCGTATCCCAACATAGCATCGGAATTCCTCTACGTATGTCCTCCCTCCGGTCAGGTACTGCAGAATCACATCTCTTCCCACAGTTTGTGAGAAGCAATCATTTCTATAAGATATTTTTGTATCTCTCCTTTGTTGTTTTTTTATGTCTATTTGTGTCTTTTATATATATTTTATATATATAAATATATATAAATATATATTTTATCCTAAAACTTTGTGCGCATATTCATCCTATTGTGAATTCAGATTATACACTGATTTATGAGGCAGTTTGTCTCCGTAGTTGAGGATGGTTAAATTGTCAATACTTAAACCAAATTTTCAAGATTGCGTATAGTTTACAATCAGGATAAGTCACCAGGCCTTCTAGAGCAGTGTTTCTCAACCTTGGGAACTTTAAGAGGTGTGGACTTCAACT